CCTGCTACCCATGTGGCCTTAGTTGCTCCTTATAGCATCTCACTCATTTAACTTAATGAAGATTGTCTGCCAGAGAGCCCTAAATGGTAACTTCTCCATCCATCAATCCATTAGCCATATATACTTCATCCTGTAGAGGGTCAAAGGGAGCTGGAGTCTTTCCTTGCTGACTTGAATTTGAGATGAAGTATGTCCTGGACAGGTTGCCAGTCTATCACAGGGCTAACACAAAGATGTAGATAACCAGGCACACTTTCTCACACCTACCACCAATTTATAACCAACAGTCAATCAAACATGCAGTCTTTGGACGATGTGAGGAAACCAGAGCACCCTGAGAGATGTTAACATCTCCCTCTAGAGCAAGTGAGAAACTGAAAGTTCAAAAATCTGAGACTGACCTGACTGAGTTACAGAGCCCCATAGAGATGGTAAATGATAAATGGTCTGCACTTATATATATCTACCTTAGTGGTAGTCAAAGCACTTGAAATCTGGAAGTGTGGTATGCTCACAGAGCGGGGGGCGAGGAACAGAAATCCTAACCTTATAGAATAACCCAACAAAGTTAAATATGCATCCTGTTTATTCTTCCTAAAAAGTTGTAACATCCTTCAAATTCCAGAAAAGTGGCCATAAATAAATAAATGATAACAAATTATTGTGGTGACATATTGTCTGTTTCCCTCTTCAGGACTGCCCCCTAGAGTCAGGTGATTTCCGTGCCCAGCAGTGTTCAGCCCACAATGACATCAAGTACCAGGGTGTCACTCATGAGTGGGTTCCAGCACCTTATGACTCCTCTGCACCTTGTGCGCTGCGGTGCCAAGCTAAAGGTGGAAGCCTGACTGTTGAACTGGCCCCTAAGGTGCTGGATGGGACACGATGCCGGGTGGATGCCTTTGACATGTGCATCAGTGGAGTGTGTCAGGTAAGAGATTAAATTATAAATCAAATCTTGTCTTGTCACTATCATCCACCTTTGGTGTGCTTTGACACATCCATCATTTGTCTTCTTACATACAGTGAGCGGGAAAAAAATGCAGTTGGAGTTTCATCAAAACAAAAACTGACAGTTTGGTGACTTCCTCTGGCAGAGGTGCTTGCAGGGCCCATAAAGCCAGGCTCATATTTCACTTGTGGTTTCATTATTTGGACAGCACATGTAAGGAGGAGATCTTTGACCTGATGCATTAGAATAAACCTATATGATCTTGTAAATAGACAAAAAAAAGTCGACACTGAATGAGATTTTTTGGGGGATGATACAGTGGTATCTCAATCAGTGCTGGGTATCATTCAAATCTTTTTAATGATGGTGCCAATATTATACCTGAGTTCTGGCAGTAACACCAATAGTTCTGACCATACCTTTTATATTTAGGAGAATATTTTAATTATGGTTTAAATGGTGAAACTATAAGGGAGGAAAATGAATAAATCTGACTAAAAACTTGACCTCACAACACCATAACTAACCATACACAGTCAGTGTAGCAGCAGTAAAGAATGTTGTGGCATTATGGCAGTTTTACAACCAAGCTGGTACAATATATAGATGTTGTGCAGTACTTAAGAACAAGTTATATTATTCTCTCAGAGAAATACCTCCTCTATTTCATCCTTGATCAGAACCGTCACAGATTAATAGAGAAATTAAAATATTGAAATATGAGCAACAAGTGAGTTGTCCAAAATGTGACTCCTAAACCCAGACCAAACAATAACAGTATGTCATCTCACGAAGTCATAAATAACTGGCAAAGGCTAAAAGGGTTTTGTTAATATGGAAAGAAAATAACCCTACTGATCGCTTGGCATATCACAAAAATCAAAAACAAAACAAAACAAAACAAAAAATGTCTGTAAATCATACATACTGTTTGTGATCATAGCAATGGATCGTAGGAAGAGCATTGAAGAATGAAAATCATTGAATAACGTATAATCCAGGTACTTGTGTAAAATGTAACCTGCAATTTCAGGGCTTGAAAAGGTGAAAGGATAAACTGAAACATGGAAACTTTGCCCTCTGCGACGTCATAATCATATCAGAAAGTGTATACTTACTGGGATGGTTTCCATTCCCAGACTGGCAGCTTGATTGGAGAGTCTTTGCAACTCTATAGGAGGAGGAGGAGGAACACATGTATCACACTTGACAGCTCCATTTCCAAAACAGTTATTTATGTATACTCTTGGGACTTATGTAATACAGCAGAAAGTGTCAGCACTGTCAAGTGAACTTGGAGAGCTTTGTTAAAGTGAAGAACAACAATCAAGAAGTTTTGGACGCTTGTTTTTTTATTTTGTTACTGTTGTCATCAGTTTAACCATATTTTATGCTGCAGGAAACATGAATGAAGATGAAAACAGCAAATACGATTTAGTGCTTTTACCCTCCTGCTAATAACGAATGAGTTACACCCAAGAGAATGGATGGGATGGACATGAGCTTCAGCCCATTTGTAAATTGAATTGGTAAAAGGTTTTTTTTTGTTTTGTTTTTTTTTTGTTTTTTTTAACCTTTCAGCACCAATATTCCTCTAAATTTTTTTTTTTTTTTTTTTAACCTTTCAGCACCAATATTCCTCTAAAAACATCACAGAGTGCTTAATACGGAGTTTGTGATTTTGCATGCCAAAATGTCACTCACATTGCTCTACAATTTTAAATCTATTAAGCTACAAAATAAAGTGTCCCTGATAAATCAAACTGCCAAAAAGCAGACAATAACAGCTTAGAATGATATGAACCAATAATGAATCTAATCTGAACATGATCAGGTACTGTTTCATCTTCTGAGTGCACATTTTCATTAGTTTACAGTCTTTTTGCTATATTAATCGACAGCATAAACTTACAAATGGTAAATCTCACTGCGAAGTCCATTTTCTTAAGTTTCTAATTCTTATTTAATTCTCTTTGTAGTTGTGCATGTCGCTTCACTTCTTCTCCTCTCCACTCACTTTTCTCCAGCCTCTCAGCCAATCACATTACAGACAGGATGACTGCACTCATTACCAACCAATTACATACAACACATTCACACAGGTTCTACTCAATATCAAACTAAACACAAAGTTAATAAGTACATTGCACACAGCCTTTGTTAAAGGAGCAGAACGTATAATTGTTCAAACAGATTACCAACAAACACAACATGTACACACAAACAAAAACAAACAACCATACAACTACATTTTATTCATTTGGAAGGTCACATTATTTACCTCAGGGCTACATACGTCACTTGGTTCCCATGTCTGAAAGGAGCTTTAATTCAGCTTGGGAAGTGGGACTTGACCGAAATCTCTTAAGAACTACTGGACTATCTGACACAGAACATAGATCACTTCTGCCCTCTGTGCTCATTCTCTAACAACAGACAACAGAAATACATATACACCACTCAGTTTCCCCACATACTACCAAAACAGCTGTGATTCATCAAGGCATGGACTCCACAGACCTCAAAACGTGTCCTATGGGATTAGGGAATAGGGACGGTAACAAGACGTCATCAGCAGATCCTTTAAGTCCTGTAAGTTATTAGGTGGATCAAACTTGTCATGGAAGATACAAAACACGTGCGTCGATGAGCCTTGGTTGCCTGTGGCCCTCTCATTGTTTCACCAGTTTAGCAGGTACTACCCACTGCATACTGGGAACACACCATTTTGAAGACGATTTGACCCAGTCATCCCAGTTTTGCCATCGAAGTTGCTCAGGTCCTTATCCTGCCCATTTTTTCTGCTTCAAAGACATCAACTTCAAGAACAGATTGTTCATTTTGCAGCCTTACATACCAGTCCCTTTTGATTGTAATGCGATATGAATGTTATTTTAATGGTGTGACTGATCAGTGTATGGTATAAGAATAGAAATATGGTTTTGGGTTGGTGATTATGGCTTCTCTTCAGTAATAGATGTATGCACTTTTCAGCTTAAAAACCATGTCGATCCTGTTTTTTGTTATGTCTCATGAGCCACGACACTTTTTATTGCCTATTCTTGAGACTCTAGCCAGCTTAATACAAAATATACCAAACTACTGACAAAATTATTAAAGCATTAAGAACCTTCTCTTATAATAACAGGTTGTGCATATGATAGTTATATTTTGACTCAATACACACAAAATTGTTTATGAAAACTCAATGAATAGGAATGTTTAAATAAAGATAAAA